TATAGCCAAAACTTTGGATCCTCCCACTGTCCGTGCACACAGATCCGAAATTCTTCCAAGAATGGTGACTTTGTTTTCTGGAGAATTGACTGGTCAGTATGCACTGATATTATACCAGTTCATGTCTTATCCGCTCTGGAACAGGTCAATTCCTTCAGCATAGGTTAGACCTGAACTGCCTTTGTAGTACTAAAATGTTAACACCAAACGTAGCTAGATAAGCCCACATCCCATTTTGAAGTAAACGCCTCAAGTGTCCTTTGCTTTAGTCCATCTCCACAACACCTTACATACCCAAACTACAGCCTCACTAGATCATGACTGGTGCTTCCCCCAGTGCATTCCCTTTTTTATTTTTATTTTCTTAATTTTTAAATTGTAGAAATGATACAGAGCCTCTGTTGCTTTAAATGCTTTCATAACCAACCCAAAGTTCTTTTAGAATTAAACTTTGCTACACGGCAGAAATTGCTGTGTTTATTTTGACATGGCAAAACTGAGATGAGACAATAAATTATTTTAAACAGTCACCAGAACAGAATAGAATAGAATCTTCAGCCATTTCTGTTATAAAAAAGACAAAAAAAAGTGCATTTTAAATGGCACTGAGAGGAAGTCCTCATGTTAGAGATGTGAAAAGGCCGCATAAGAACGTTGCAATGGTGGCTGTGGAATAAAGTAAAAATAATAAAGTCTCCTTTTCATGTGTTTTGCACTTGGTTTTACTGTCTTTTTCACTCTCACTCGCTGCTTAGGTTTAGGAACTAAGAACTACTTGGTGAGGAAGTTCAGTAAAAATACATGCACCTTCACAGCAGCTACCCTTTGCACTTTCTCACTAATGCACTGCTGCTAAATGACACCTGGTGTGTCTAGAACATACCAGCATTTACTAAATGATTTGTTTTTAATGCTTTGTTGAAATTGATCCTTTAACAGTGTAAGCCATGTGGGAAAGCCATGAAGGAAAATCATTTTCCCAGTCCTGATGCAACTTGATTGGTCAGTTGGAATGACATTAATTATGATGTTGTAGGAAAAACACCATATACTGTCACGGTATGCAGAGACAGGCCGTGCGATGGTGTGTGTAATGGACCCAGGTGCGTACACAAGTGAGTAGACGGGAGTGAACTTAACAGAAAGCGAGCCTTTATTATGGCTGGAGACAAGGTGTACAAACAAAGCAAGGATAGCGTGGCTAGGCTATAACTAAACTGGGAAAACTAATACTGTGACAAACTAAGGAAACTCAGAGACTATGATGTTCGCTGCAAAGACTGACCGGGAAAACATGGCGGTGAGAACACAGACGACGCGACACGGACTGTATGAAACACAGAGACTAAATACACATGAGGGATGATCAGGGGAAGTGGCCACACATGGGAGCACAGCTGACACACATGAACCTAACGACAGGACAGGAGAGGTGAAACTAAATACACTGACATTGAATACAGACTTTCAAAGTAAAACAGGAAACATGGAGATTAGACATGACATGAACTAAACATAACCATGCAGACATGACTCATGACAGGTAAACGCACGAACCAGGGAGACTGAGTACAGTGGAAGATGACAGAAGCAACAGCATGAACTTGACAACACAAGACACACAGACATAAACACATGAAGGGCAAGGGAGGCTTAATACAAGGGTAATATAATTACAAATGAGCTGGAATAACTTAATGAACCTAAACAAACAATAAACATCAAAATAGACTAAACACAAAACACTGGGTCGCACGACCCAGGACCATGACATATTCAACACATTTGTAAGCTGTTGTTAGCTCTAGTGAGAGAACAATGCCAACAAGGACTAACATCTTAGTTAAATATTAGTATAGAAAATATTTAACATTTTTGAGAGATTTTGTTTGACAGTTTTAAGAAGCAGATCCAGGAGTCCTGCATTATTTATATTTGCCATTTAAAGTACAGTTTAACTCACTGTGCTGCAGTTTTAAGAGGACTGAACTCCTAACCCAAGCAGAGTTAGAGCCATGCTCCTCTTATTAATCACCCTTCTGGCTTCCTCCTCACTCTCTAACCACTTCATCATTCTCCTTCTCTTCAATTTTCTCATGCAAGCGCGCGCGCGCGCGCACACACACACACACACACACACACACACACACACACACACACACACACACACACACACACACGCACACCCTTTCTTTCCCTTCAGAGTATTGCACTGTTGTCCAAACAGACCGAGCGTGCGGTGACCCTCTACTGCAGCAGTGCAGCACGGTGCCTCCTGAACCGCTTACATCGAATCTATCATAGATGGACAAAAGAGAATATGTACACAAACACTCAAAATGTTATTGTAGCAATTCGACTGTGTGATACCATCTGCTGCCAGACCCCACCACCCCAACTTATATTTCTACAGAGAACTGTGTGGAAAATGTGGACTTTTTAATGCAGCCTGGCTCACTTATAGCCTGAATGAAAGCAATGCTAGATAATCTATCCTTGGCACAGTTTCAGTTAGTCATGCAGGAGTGATGAAAACAGAAAAAACAAAAAATGAGACATTGAAGGACATCAAAAGAGCAGAAAAACAGATATGGAAAAATATATTCAGCATGATGCAGAGAAGCAGGGGGCACTAACCATGATGATCGCTGATGATTACACTGGAACCAAAATCGCTTTTCTCCACAACCTCAACAAGTTTTCAGTCAATGTGAAGTATGTGGACTGTCAAGCGAAGGGAGACTGGCCTAATCACTTACACAACCTCTAAGCTTGTTGCTCTGTGGGAAGGCCTGGAGACAGTTTTGAAAAATATCTTTTCATTAGATGTGGGTGCCGCGCTCTCAGTAAAAGCTCATTGTCTTGACTTCTATCAGTCACCTACACATCCAGAGCTCAAAGGACAACTGCCATAAGGCACTTGTAGATTATTCCTAGGGTAACTACTGTCAGACACAGATCCGCCTACAATGCACATAGTCCATGGACTGAGGCACTTAAGGCTCTCTTCTCTGGCATTTCAGACAGTTGCTCGAGAAAACAGAACCATGATATTTAGCCCTAATTTGTGTCCCTGTCCATTACCATTAATTTCACAGAGTTTAAAGCTATGATTCTCAAAGTTTTGGTGGTTGAGAGCCAATTTAATGGGGACACACTGGATTGAGGGATGCATGGGTTAAATGCGACACAGTGGTGGTAATGTCATGTTTTGAGGCCAGACAGCTGGCCATCATTGATAAGTTTCACATTATGCATGTCAAATTTCACATTTGACATTGTGACATTTCACATGTAATAAGGGTCAAAATCATTAATTCAATGGTATGATTGAATTGAATTATTGAGACTGACATATAGAGCTGCAGAGTGACTCTGCAAACATGCTTACACATCATATGTAGAGTTAGAGTCTAGCTGATATTTTTACGGGCCAAGGGAGTCCGAACAGAATGTCTTAGATAATACGTAGAATCAGTAGGCTGAGAATTGTTAGATAATATTAATGCAGTAAGGTTAGGTTAGGGAGGTGTTTTTCTTTCTCTATCTTTTTCCAGAAAAGGAGCAGATGGTAGATGAGGTCAGACGTGGACGGAGTGGAGGAGAAGATCCGCAGAGGAGAAGACAGTTTCCCAGAAGAAGATAGTCATAACAATACTTGTTTTTGTTGTGGTATAAAACTGTAATGCCCGCTTACAGGCCCATTCTTTTTGTGAAGCAGACCACCGATTCACATTGAGGTCCCGCATGCTGTAACTTATAATTTCAACTGCTGTACTTCCTTAAAGAAAGAAAAATGAACAGCAACACCCTATTTGAATTATATTTATAACTGGTCTGGTCAGGGGGTTGTGTATAGGATTGTGCTTTATGTTGTTTTATGCTGTCATTTTGCTCTATTTTATAGTTCTCTAGCAATTTGGGAAGTGGCTATTTCTTTTCTTATTCCTTGGCAGTACCTGTAGTTCCTGGTGTTAAGATATTTAGTCTGCTGTGATGATGAGTTGAATTTCAAAAAGAATACTCCCTTAGTGTCCTCCTGTGCTTTTATATCATATCATATAACATGGACTGTATGAATGAATGTAAAGTGACATATTCTTCTCTTGTCACCATCAAAGAGTGCATAATGTATTACTAAGACGGCTAGTTCCCTACATGAAAGCAACCTACAGCAGTTCTGTGGGTGCTTCCCCCCTCAAAATATTCAGTTTGCCAATATTCAGTGTCAAGGTCTGATATTGTTTCTACAAGAAGCATTTCAAGAAATAGAATATCTTTGGAACCTGATCTTTTTCATTTTCACAGCTTGCCTAAGCTGTAATGGTCAAATCTCTGGTGCTCTGTGTGAAAAAATATAGCTATAACCTGCCTTTCAAGTGTCTTTATGAATGAATCTCTAATCATTCGAACTCTACCAGCTTAAAAACAAAGAAGAAAGTGAGCCAACACAGACAATGACATCTGTAGCAGCATACATGCTGTGCTTTCTTCACATGTGAAGATGATTTAGGCTTTAGTGAATTTGCTCACCAAATGTTTATTTTCAACAGATATATATAAATATAAAAAAAAATGAGGACTCGATAGTTTAAATAATTTGACTAAAAGAATTATTTGCTGATTTGCAGATCATTTGTTTTCAGTAGGAAAACACTGTTTTTGACAGACTTCGTTGACCCTACACGGTTTAATAACTAAAATGTTTTCATGAGTAGGCCACCATTTAGTTTTTTTTCTCGAAGAAACAACAACAACAACAACATGTATAGGTGGGCACAGACGATAATGGTAAAGGCGAAGTTGCGCGTAAAGCCCTGTTCTTTAAAGCGCTACAGCACACACTCCCACATGTTTAGAACGATCCCTCGCAGCCGTCTCACCTACTACTTGTGGCTCAAGTACTACTTGTACTGTAGATTTTTACTTTGTCTCGATGCGTAAAGAAACCACAGTGGGGACCGATAATTGCGATAATAAAAGCTTTCCACGACACCCACCTGCAGCACGGTCTTCACCGTGACCGGCGAGACCACAGTGGTGCATATCATCTCGCCGTTACGCATCCTTTGGCCCATGATGAAGGGCATCGGTGTCGCGAGAGCGAAGGAAGCGAGCCACATGGCGCTGATGAGTTTCTTGGTGCGGCTGCGGGACATGATGCTCTTGGCTTTGAACGGGTGGCAGATGGCCATGTAGCGCTCCACGCTCAGGCTGGCGATGTTAAGCGCGGTGGCATAAGAGCAACTGTCCCGGAGGAAGTAGTAACCCCTGCACACGGCGTCCCCGAACACCCATGGGTAATGGAACCAGATAAAGTTGTAGAGCTCAATGGGCATGGAGAGGATCAGAATGAGCAGGTCGGACACGGCGAGACTGGCCAGGTGATAGTGTACGGTGCTCTGGAGGTTCTGCAGCGTCTTTCTGGTAATCAGGGTATAAATAGTGATGGAGTTGCCCAGGGAGCCTATGGCGAACAGAGCCAAGTAAATGATAGTGACAATGACTTTTGCGTACACATTCGTATTAACTTCCAGTTCCTCCTCATTACTTGTGGGACCGACGGTGCTGTTATCAAATGGAGGCAGTGAGTTATTCGCAAAAAGTTTCTGCGCCAACGAGCCAAAGCCGATCAAGTCGCTCCCCGAGAGCGTGAAGTTTAAATCCATTCTGCTTTTCTTCATGAAGGTATGGAACGAAAAGGTACAACTGAGCAAGCCGAGTGGATATGTGCCGACGCGACTCGCTCTGGTTTAAGTCAGAGGAGACCACCCTTTATAATTTGGCACGACAGAAGGCGTGCTCGCTTATTGGTGCTGCTGCGATGACGCACGACCATTCACTTTGTCCGTTAGTTCCATCTTGTCCGTTTATGGTTCACCTTGGAAACAAACAGTGCGATGCAACAACGCATCAAGAATTAAAGGAATTTAATTTCAAGTATGGTTTCTAATATAATTTTTTTCTTCTTTGCTGTTTTTCTCTGTTATTTTATTTTGAACCCTTAACTTTCTCTCCAAGAAGCTTTTGTCCTCTTTCTTCTCTCAGTCAGCCTTACAAGTAGAAAGAAATGATGTTATGTGTAAGTCGGAGACTCCACAACAGGGTACCAGACTTTACTCTGGGCCCCAGATAATGATTATGCTCATGATCCACTCCCAGTGTGAACTCCTTTGGACAAGAAGGAGAAAATGATTCTAATGGTTATTTCACAGCAGTAGGCTCACCTCTTTTTGACATTTTTCCCACATTGTTTATCACAAAGTTGTACATCTAAATATTTTAATGTTCTTCTATGCATATCATTTCAGTTTTCCCTCACGCCTGGGTGCTCACTATTATTCATGTGTTGCTCATACATTACATAAGGCTTTAAAGCATTGTTTATGTGTTGCAAGATAATTTCTGTTGTGTGACTCTGCTGAGCATCAACAACCTGTCCATGACACCCTCCAAACTCTGATGAAACAGAACATAGCTTTCTGGTTGCTGCCCTGGGTCTCCTACAAAGCAATACAAATGTATAGAATAGAAATAGAACCAGTGGATTATTTAACAGTGGCTATTGTTTTAGTTATATGATTAAGATTTGTGGGATTCATAAAATAATATTTCTTTAAAAAGATAATTTCATAGTCATTTGTCTAAAAAAGGGGGAAAGGAAAAATCCCAACATGCAACATTCAGCATGGTGCAAAAGTCTGAGCCACTTATGATTTCTGTATATTTTGATAGGAAAACAATCATATATTTTTACAGTTGCAACAGGCTTGAAAGTCAACATTTGGTATGATCACCTTTATGCTTCAACACTCTCTTAGGCAGCTTTCCTGTAATTTCTTTAAGGAGGCTTCAGGAATAGTTCTTCAGGCTCAAGGAAATGTTGGCTGCCTTTTGTTCTGCTCTCTGTCAGGATGATCCCACACTGCTTCAATAATGTTATGTTGGTCTAGGATCTGGGAGGCCAGCTCATGATTGATGTATGCTTTTGTATCCAGACCTGCTTTTTCCGCACTGACAGTTTGTTTTGGGTCACCATTGAACTGACAATTGAAACTGTTGCCAATCAGATGCTTTCCAGATGAAATTGCATAGTCAATCAAAATCTGATGTTACGCACTATAGAAACGCACTGTGATACCATTCTCCTCACCTCATCCTTAATGATAATTTGAACCAAAAATTTCAAATTTTGTTTAATCACTTCATAAGACATGTTGCTTCTGACTTGCTACTGGCTTCTTAACAGCCATGTTTCTACTGAGACCATTTTTGATAAGGCTTCAGCAAACAGTAGGTGGATCAAATGAGGGGCTAGGGTTAGATGCATGTCTCCAGTGCTGTGTCAGGTCTTTTGCGCCTTATTTCATACTGCTTAATAACACGACTTTTAGATACTGTTCACCGCTTATCCTTTTGAGCTCCACTTGTCCAGTTTCCTCAAATTTATATGGACATACTGTACAGCATGCTTTCAGGCAAATTTTCAGGTATTAGCTCTTTGGGAATCACCTTGCTGATACTAAGGTGCCTAATGATGCAATTTAAAGTGGACATGAAAAACATGAAACATGTATAAAGGCTAATTTACGCCGTGGAGGAGAGCAAAACATGAGGGGTGGTTCAAGACTTTTTCACATTTCTGTATGTGTTTTCTTTTTCCAAATTCACCAAATTAAAGAATAATATTGATTGACTGAATATTGAACTGTTTGTGGAAAAAATATATTTTTCTTCTTCTCCTATTTTTGTAAAACACATTTTATTGGTGTGATATAAGATAACAATCCAATAGTAATAGCAGGCAAAAATACTAATAGTGCTAACTCCTTTTTATAATGTTTAGTAACAGAGTTAACTTAAACAGATTTGAATCATGTACAATTTCTAGGCAGTCACTTACCCTAGGTTTGTTTTAAAGGAAAAACAGTGTGTCAACATTAAATTGTAAGGAGAAGCTTCTTAGTTTTAATAATGAAAAGACAATTTAAGCACTTATTCAAACTTCATGACTGAATTAGTTGTTGTTAAAAATGTGGGGAATTTGAAAAGTCATTTATAAGCACTACCTGCTTTTAGGTATAGCATAAAATGTTTAGAAAGTCTTTATAATTAAAATATAAGATCTAAAATATAAGCTTTTAAAAGAAATGTCATGTCTCTGACTGTCCGCTGTTGACCCTTTTAGCAGTGCCCCTGTGACTTATATTGTAAGTATCTTATGTTGCTGTCTCTCAGTAAAATTTTGGCACAATAAAACTGGTGTGAAAGCCACCCCAATTTTTTGTCAGACATATGTATATTTTATCCACAGCTACAGTTAACAAAAAATGAAGCAAATATGTTCTGCTAGAGAGTATTGCAGGGAAACGTTTTAAAATCTGACAGTCTTCCATGGCATCCCCATTCTTAGTTCACAGGCAGAAAGGAATGAAAAAGAAAATAGAACCTTAGAGAAAACGAAAGTTAAGGTGCCATAATGGTAGCGATGTGTCGTTTGTGAATGAGCTGGTTCTAAGAGTCGATTCTTTCTAGCGAATGACAAGAGCTGACTCCAGCCAGGGAGAGCCACATCTTTAGCCTACCCTACTGAGACCTCATGCATGTAGGGATGGGATATTGTTTTGATTGCCATACCATGTGGCCAATCACATGCAAAGACAGACCATTATGTGAAAGAAGGAAGGTGGGCAGCGATTTCAGAGACAGCATGTTGGGAAAATAACAATATTTTCAACGTTACTTTCACTAAAAAGTGATGAAATGAGTAAAACATGAAAAGAAGCATCTGACTGCATTTCACTGGTATTGGAAAATGCAAAGATAAAATTACATTTATTTTTTCAACCATTTGCCATTTTGGAGGACAATAGATTTAAAACTTTTTTTCCAGGCCTTAAACTCCATGTATTTTCTACCTAACAGTTGCATATGCATAAAATTTAAGTTTTTATGAAAACACTGAAGAAAAAATTGCTTCAAAAAACACAAACCATTCATAATTGTGAAATTAGGAGAAGGCTCTGAAGAGGGAAACAAGCCAAAAGAGCACAATCTTTGAAAAGAGCCAGATCTCATCACTACATCATTGATACAGCATATTCTTACAAAAGCTACAGAAAGCTGCAAGCAAACCTAAATTTGCACATCATCTTTCAGGAGCTCCCTTTAGGGGTGACTACAGCAGAACATCTGCCTCCACCTCACTGTATCCATACCATCCTATTCTGTCAAACCAACCAGCCATCCCTCTTTATCTTTATGTCTGACAGCTCCATATTCAACATCCTTTGCCCATTATATCCACTCTCTGTCTTCTTTAGCCTTCTCAGCTTTGTCTCTTTAACTTTGTCTTATCCTCTGTTACCTTTAGCTGTGCGTCTTGTCTTTTTGTCAGTGTCACTGTTTCCAAACCATACATCATGGTAGGTCTCACTACTATCTTGCTGCTATTCCTGTGTCATAAATCACCCCTGGCACTCTCAACCTGCTGGATCATTTGTGCAACTTCATTAGGCGATGGGAATAGGTAAGAATTTAGCTATTCCGATTCCATTATAGATATTAATTAGCGATTCGATTCCTCATCAATTCTCTTATTGATTGTGATTGGGTTCCTAGTGGCTCTGTTTTCTGAGTAACTGCCATTGCTAAGCAGCAATAAAGAAATTACATTCATGCAAATTAATTGCATGCTGTGTATCAAATGTTTCTGCATGTTTGTTGAGGTATTTTCCCTATTTGTTGTGATCAATGTAGGAGTCATTGCTTAAAAAAGTAATTATTACACATATTATGCAGAACATGTTTCTTAACAGTAATCCAGTACCCTACTTAACTACTACAGGAAAAAGTAATTTATTATATTACTCATTACATTACTTTCATGTTACTCTGTAAAATAGCGGAAACACACTGTCTCATAATCACCATTCAACAAACATAAATCTGTAGCTACAACCCCGCAAACCGACACAAATCCCTAATAAGGACAAACATCTTTAAGATCTTTCTTTTAGTAGACTACAAAGCTGACCGCACAAAGCAAAGATGAAAACCAGAACACACACACACACACACACACACACACACACACACACACACACACACACACACACACACACAAACGATTGCCACAGAGATTCTGATTTGTAAACATGAACAGGTAGAAAGGGAGGCTTCAGCCTGACTGTTCATCTCTTTGTTACTTGTTGAAGTAAAGGGTCCAGCTGCTAGGGTTGGCATTCACCCAGCTTTCACTCTGGGTTCTTGGCTAGCTTAGTATTAGCATGCTGTGGTTGTTTCTTTACTAGATTGCCATGTATCTTGTCTTTTTGTGCGATAAATATAAATGTCCATATTCACACTCTAGACTGCGTGGCTATTTCTTCCTCTGACTGTGAACTGAAATCAGCTGATTGTAGCGCGCAGGCATACTAACCGTTCTAAGGAATGGGCTACTGGGAACTGATTTTCTACAAAGAATCAAAACAGCAGTAGCGACATACTGATGGCAAGCTTCATTATCTTTGTCATTTTTTTTTTTTTTTTTTTTTTTTCTAAAGAATCAAAACATATGCACATAGATCAGTTATCTTTTCATAAATACAAATGAATGAGAGAGAGAGGGGGAGAGAAAGAAAGAAAACCAAAGGGGAGAAGAGACGGTGAGAAGGGGGGGAAGAGAGACAAAAAAAAAAAAAAAAAAAAACTCCTGGGTCACCTGTAT